CATCCCAGTTACTATGCATAGAGTTGAAAATGAGCTTGAGGTACACCATGTTGATGCAATTCCTTCTATTTCTGAAGGGCCAGATACAGAGTTAAAAAAAAATGCGTAAATTGCGAGAGATATGAGAAAAGTCTTTATAATGCATTTAAATCGATTGTAGAACTTAATGATTGTAATGAAGCTCTGCAAGCAAAGTGCGGTAATATTATTGAGCCTGTTGCAGATAAAGTCAATATAGATTAAGTAGTAGACATTATACGAGCACTACTAGCTAAGTTTTTATCTTTTCTTTTTATTTCTCGCTCAATTTGGGCAACTATATCTGTATTGGAAATATTATTTATACCACCCCCACTTATTTTTTCTGTAGAATCGACGTTATCACTAGATATTGGATCAGATATACGCATAAATTTAGACCGAGATTTGGAGCTTCTCTTTTTTATTTCTGTATTGAGGGGGGTAATAGATTCCAGATGTAGATTCGAAGAAACATGATTCAAAGAAGAGGCGGGGTCTCGAGGAAGCTGAGCTTCAAGTCTTTGTCTCAACTCCGATTCACCGCCTAAAGCCTTGCCTTGTAATAAAACCTCGCTTTCAATTCGATTAGAATGTTCAGGTAAGATTGTTGATATAGGTAATATTTCAGAGGAAATAGTATTTTGTATTATTTGTTGCTGACGTTCATGACTTTCCCATATATCATTAACTCGATTTTCATTAATATGGAAATCTCTTATTATTCTATATTTGGGAACCTTTCCCTTGAGCGTTCTAATTGTTTCTATTTGTTTAGAACTTAGAAATGTAGAACCTCGTCGATAATAAGATTTTAGATATGGGGTATCCATAGTTTGTTTTCTTATTGAATATTTAAAATAATAAAAAATAATATTTAATATTTTAGAATGATAAAAAACGATATATATTATTGTAGATAAATGAGAAATATTAACAAAATAAATATAAGGGGCTATGAATTGAAATATAGATAAAAATAATCGCTATGTAACCTAATTCAATAATATTTAATATTATTTTTTAATAGTCTACGATATCTAACGTTAAATATTATTAGATAATTATAGAAATTATTAATGAAGTTAGATTTTATTAATATGGAAGTTCCGCATATAAGTCATAAATGTTCTCGATTTCTTTATCCCAGTTGGTATTAGTATTTTTTTGATAGCCTCACCGGATAGGTATGTTGCATTAGCACTATAATAGCGGAGCTAGTGTCAAAGACACATATTCTTTATGTATGCGTCCCATTTTATCAATTATAACTGATCTTTAATATCTATTTTTTATTATTTAATATGGCTAATGTACATACACTACGAGATATTAGCTCTAATAAAGGTTATCGCCTTGGCAGTATGCGTGAGCGAGAGCTCGAAGAAACTTTACACCGCAGTTTAAAGTCTATATCCGAGCTAAATGACTGTAATGAAGGGTTGCAATCTAATTACTCGAAACGAGTGAAGGCTTTTGATCGAGAAAGAGAGGAGTGGAATCGGGATTCATTACGAAATAATACCGAGATCCAAAAATTACGTACCCACGCTTTACAAGTTATTAATGAGAATAAACAGCTACAAAATGAAAATACTAATCTTATTTCGTGTAATGCACAAAAGGATATTTCTCTTGCTGAATCCAAGGCTAAGAATGCTACAAAATCCAAGAAAATCAAATCACTCGAGTCTGTGATCAAGATATTGAAAAGTAAGTTGACTTCAGCCCAGAAAGATGTGATTTCGATTCAAAGCGACTCATCGAAAAAAGAAACTGAGATCGCGTCCCTCAAATCCAAAATAGCTGAAGTAGAACATGAGTTAGCTTCGAAAGTCAGTGAACTTGAGTGTCTGAAATCGGAGGCTATATCAAACCCCGTACTTGGTGGAAACGATGAAAAAAATACGCTGTGCGAGGAACAAAGTTCCATGACCAAGTCTGATGATATATCTGCAGTATCGCAAAGCAGGCAATTGGGGGATGAATCGGAGATTCGAGACACTTATGCGTCTAATGAATCTAGCAAAAATCTAAGTAAGTATTTTATTCGTGGAAAAAATATGGATCCAATAGAAAAAAACGATAATGGTATCTCGACATATACTAATGAGGGAACTAACATTAGTGAAATTAACAAGGATGATATACTAGATATATCGATAAAACCCAATGCATCAGAGGCTATGCCTCAAAATATGACTCCACATCTTATACAACCGGATAATAATAGCGGAGCTAGTGCTAAAGCACATATGTCCTCTTTGATGTCACAGCTATCAGCATATATTTTTCTTATTTTGTTGATTATTGCGGTTATGTGGTTCGTGAGACGTACATGGGGGTTTGATAGGAAAAATGAGCGGTTGCGGGATGCATGGACTAGGTATTAGTAATTATCTATTTGAGATTTTATTAACTAGAACTTTTTATTTAGTTGTTATATTAATAGATAATCAGAAAAATAATTATGAATATTAACGCTATTTCTCCTGCAACACACGCTTTATTAGTACCAGAAATTTTGGAAAATATATTTAGCCATCTTTCTAAAGATGAGGATCTATTTAAGATTATTACAGTCAATCATGTCTGGCGCTCTGAAGGGTTTCGAGCTATCTGTAATTTATATACATTTCGACTTAATAATTGGGTTTCTCATTTTAATAATACTCTATCAGTATGGTATAAAGGAAAGATTTTAAAATCTTGTCTTAATGATGTTATTTCCTGTGTTTATAAAGATTTTGTTTCATTATCAATGATATATAATAAATACTTTGCTCGAAATAGAAACATGATATTTTTCTTTTCACGAGAAATGTTAGGAGATCTTATAAATGAGTATATATACTTTCAAGGAGATATTGAAAATGAAATGATAGAGATATCTAATTACAATTATTATTATTATAATATACATATATGTAATAATGAAGAAGAGATCTCATATAGTGATGATGAAGAAGAAGTCTCATACAGTAATAATATTATCACTTTTGATAATTAACCAGCCTTTAACACATAATCTTTTTCCGAACTAGAGAGGAAAAGGGGGGAAAAAAGAGCGCGAAAGCATGAATGAAATCGATTTCCTAGAATATAAACGAAACTTCGAGGCTAAAATGAAGGTC